CCCCACATCCTCTAGAGAGAGATGGGGTTAGGACACTGTGAGTGACAGCTGGACTCTGGAGTCAGGCAGATCCACGTGACCTTGGGTGAGTTCCTGAAGGTATCGGGGCTAGTCTCCTCGTCCATATAAGCAAGCAAAGAACCTTCTATCTCCTTGAGCCATGGGGAGCCTATGTCAGCAAAGCCCTCAGCACAGTGTCCGTTACTTGATGATGCTTCTTTCCTGAGGCTCCTGTCTAGCAAGGGGCTACCTCCTGCTGAAGGTCATGTAAAGCAGAGTTGGTTTCCACTCCTTCACCTGTGATGCAGTCACCTCTGGCTAGGGACATAAAAAGGAAGGCAGAGGTGGGGAAAGCATTACACCTCCCCTTCAGGATCTGAGGACCTACTATGTGTTTAGCACTTCCATGCATCCCATCTCCTTAATCCAGAGTTCTCAGCCTCAGCACTACTGCCTGCCATTTGTGGCTGAACCATTCTCTGTGAGGTGGTGGGGGCTGTCCTGTGTGCTGTTGGAGGTTGAGTACCATCCCCGGCCTGTATTCACTAGATGCTAGTAGCATCCTCTTCCCTCCTTGTGATAACCAAAAATGTCTCCATCATTGTCACATGTCATCTGGAGGGGACAATCCACCCAGTTGAGAACCGCTGCCTTAAACTCTTGCCCACTGATGTCACCATCACCATACCCATTTTATATGCAAGGAGAACCAATGCTTAGACATCCCACAGCCAGGAGGTGGCAGGACGAGGATTCAACCCCTGGTCAGTCTGAATGCAAATCCTGCCTTGTTTCCATGGCCACTCATTGTGGAAGGACACCCTCACCCGGGACCCCAACTCCCCCCTCCCGCTGCCCCACTCAGCAGAGACGAGAGACTGACTCAGCCAGTGCCGGGCCTGCATGCATGGGAGACTCCATTCATTCACAGACAGACGCACTGACTTCTCCAATGCAACTTGCATCAAAGCTTTATTTGCTATTCTTAGTCTGAATGCAACATCTTTGTACATGCAAAAGTCATCTTGTTTAATCGCAGTTGACCAGATTTCCAACTGCTCTTCTGTGCATATGAAACTTCTTTACATTTACAAAATATAAAAGCACTTGTAGACATCCAATACTCTGTGAGGTCCAGGAAGCCCCATTTTTTTTTAACATTAAAAATATACGTTTTTCTAGATGAATTCTCAGTCACACGGTTAAAGATTCTTTCTGGGATTGATTAAAGTGCCTCTCGTCTGCCTTCCGTTCAGAACTCCTAGAGTTTGTGAATTCATAAGGCAATTGCAAGAACACCGCAGGCAGGAAGCTTAACTTTCCTACACACAGAAAATGAGTTCCTTTTCTGTCCTGACTCAAATATCTGAGGAGGGACCTAGAAGAAAGGTTAGGAAAATATATACTATTTTTATATATATTCCCACCACCCCCCAATCTTACCAAGCATTTCAAGGATCATAATCATCTAGGAAGTGCATGACTTTTAGAATATTGGTATGATTTAACAAACGACACAGTACAAAATATCTTCCATAACACAATATATTACTTTTGTGAGCCCCCTATGTACAGGATTTATAAGGCTATGTGGAACGAGATCATTAAAAAACTCAAATTCTTCTTTAGACAAAATAATTTTTAGCTGGCGTGAGGCCACCAGGGATTGTCAAGGAAGTGGCAGTCTGAGGCATGAAGCTGTTACAGCACAGATGCAAGGGCAACAATTTACGGAGATTCATGGGGGGCAAGGGGTGTCAGTTTCACGAGTGCAAATGCCAGAAACCTCAGGCTGATTTTCCAGAGCAAGGAGCCTGGCTTCTTGCTCCTCTTCTTGCAGGAGCCAACCCAGATGAAAGGAAGAAAATTCTAGGGGGGTGGTGGGGGCAAAGGGATACACAGGCTGGTAAATAACCAGCACATTCTTGCTTCCTGGCTTTTTATGTGGCCTAGGCTTCCAGAGCCATGGCCTGCTTGGAATTCCAACAGGCTGACTCCTAGCAGCTTCTCAGCACAGAGCAGGGGTCCACAACTGCAAAGGGGATTGAGCCCAAGGCAGATCCCCTTCTAAATGTGGAAAGGGTCCTGCCTACTTCCAGTGGCTCCCTCCATCTCAATGCTGTTCCTTCTGCCCCATGGGATCATGATACCAAGAGACTTTTGCTTTCATGTTTTAACACATGAGGGAGGGAAGGGCACATTCAGAGGCTACAGGATTTCTCTCCATCACTGCAGGGACTTGCCACAGCTTAAACAACTAAATTGGAAAGAGGGATTTTTAGTTTTGAAATTATGCCTAGTTCCAGGAGCAGTCTGGGGGCATCATGATGAAAAATGTAAAAGTGTAGGTCAACAAGGCAGTTAATCAGCACCAGGGGGGAGTAGCTGAGGTCTCCTTTAGGAAAATCATGCTAAGGGTTTTCCAAATCCCTTGCTCAGTCTCTGAGGTTTAGGGCCTCAGGCTCATGCTGATTTCTGTCTTCCTTAGCAACACCCTAAAGTTCGTCTCACTTCTGGGATGCACAAAGGAAAACAGGTTTGTCTGAAAGCCTATGGCTCAGCTCATTCCTCTGAAAAACATCCCCATCTGATGGTCCTTTCTCTGAATCCTAGACAACCTGAACAGTCAGCACAGCTCCACTCAAAACTTCCAACATCCCCAATACCATGAGGTTTCTCTCTCACCAGAATTTCTCTGGTGGCACTGAGTAATGCTCCACAACACTGATTTTTGAGGCCTTGCCATGGAATTTCACAGGCCAAAGGCCTCTGTTTCATTAGGCAAGGGACCATGAAGAAGGGTATCTACTGAAGGGGAAAAAGATACAGACTTATCAAAAGACCAGCTGCCAAAATGCTGATGTGCAAAGGCAGGAGAGAGATTGTCCTTACATAGGAATTTGCATTCTGCAGAAGACTCTCAAGTAAGGAGAGCCAAAGCTCCAGGAGAGGAGGGGTGATGGGGGGCAGGTGACTTCGCTGCACACAGATGATTAAGGCATAGTAAGTTAGTTTAAAAGGAGACAGATTTCCAAAGGAGACTGCAGGCAAACTCAAGAAATTAGTACACAACCCCTTGCTTAGCTCCAAAGAACTCACCCAGTTTTTAAAAAAGGAGAAATAAATAACCCATGTGCCCATCTACCTGCACAGGCTCCTGAGCATTAGTCACTTCTAACTTCACTGCACTGATCAGAAGCAGAACTCAGAAGCCATGGGGAGCCAGCATTAAGAGGGCTGCTCCTGACCCACTGTGATTGTCTGCTCTGCGCTAGAGGAGATGAGGTTGTAAAAAATAACAGGAGGTGAATAGGATCTTCAGGGCTTGCCCTAGTCAGTTTCAAGGGGGGGGGGGTGGACTTTGTATATCCTAAGCAACACAGAATTAAATGGATTTTTATTGCCAATCAAGGTGTGGAGGTTAGGCAAAAGACCTCCAAGGTTAATCTCATTTTCAAGTGTTTTTCTTTCCTGTCAGGTATACTTGTGCTAAAACGTGACTAATTAAGAATTGAGAGTTTTGCAATGGTAAGTATCAATATACTTAAGGGCAGGGCATTTCTTACTATACAAAATTGCATGAAGGGGCCTTGCCACCTGAAGGAGAGGACGACAACAGCCAAGAGAAGTCAGGGTCAAAACACAAGAACTGTGTTTTACAGGGGGTCCTACTGACTTGCAAATCCACTACATCAAAATTGTTATAAAACATGAGCTAGATTTTTTAAAAAATCAACTACAGCAGTTCCTGGAGGAATCAAATCCTCAAATGGCCAAAGAAAACTGATGGGAATGAAGAGAATACAAACTATTATCAATCAGGACCAAATTCTCAAACACAGATGCTTGGAGCTTCCAGTTGCAAAAGGTTGGGTGGGTGACAGGGTTCATTCAGCAAGTGGCCATTGGTAGCCAAAGCTCAGCCAAAAGGACTCAGGGTTGGGTGGAGGGTGGGGGTCGGGTGGCTGGGGCTGCAGTCGCTGTCCGCAGTGCTGAACCACACCCACGCACCAGGGCACAGGTGTCTGTCTTGACCTGGAAAAACAGGGGATTGTGGGCCGGCCCGGTGGCGCACTGGAGAGTGTGCCGCTTGGGAGCGTGGCGGTGCTCCCGCCGAGGGTTCGGATCCCATGTGGAGACCGGTTCCCGCTCACTGGCTGAGCACGGTGCGGGCGCAACACCAAGGGTTGCAATCCCGTTGCTGGTCCCTGGTACGGGCGTGACACCGAGGGTTGCAATCCCGTTACCGGTCAGTAAAAAAGACAAAAAGAAAAAAAAAGAAAAACAGGGGATTGCTATCCAACCCCCATCCCATCCCCAAGAGACAGGAGGTGGTAAAAGGAAATGAAGGAGAAAGATGAGATGGACAGACAAATGGAGAGACAAATCAGAAGCATGTTTGGATACCATCTGCAAATAATGGATTTACCAAGAAAGACTTGCACCTCTTGGGAAGTCAGGAAGAGGGGCACATGTGCTCCCCACTTCCATATCCAGCCAGTGCTGTGCATGGACCAATCAGGAAACTCATCCCCAGGGCCCGTAGCAATCACAGGCTGCTCTATGAACTGTCCAAGCATCTCACTGATGGGTGTCTCCCCAGCAAGGTTGGCACGAAGGTTATGGAAACTCCAGGCATGGCAGGTGGCCAGCCAAGCATATTTGGGATGTTTGCTGGAGCCTTGTGCTCAGAGGTGGAGGAGGCTGGTGTTGAGGATTTCCAAAAAAAAGGACAGAGTAGACAGCATCTGGAGCCCCCAGAGTTATTGAAGATTCTGAGAATGAGCTCATAGCTAGCAAGAAAAAAAGAGGCAAAGCAAGCCTTACACTTCATCACCAAGTGTCCAGCACTTCTGTCCAGAGTCCCTGGCCTGGGAGCTCCCCTCCAGAGAAGGGCTTTCAGCAAGACCTGCATTCAGACTAGAAAAAGTACTTGGTCAGGTGGAGCTGAAGAGGTGGGGATGAGGTGAGAAAAAGCAAAGTCTACCCCTCACTCATGCATTTGTTCTGAGGCCAAGTTTGAACGGCTCCTCCATTCTGGCAGCTCAGGTTGTGTTCAAAAAAGATGCTGGAGAAAAAGATTCTGATGTTTGAGTGGTAAAGGCACTGCTGTTTGGGCTGCAGTTTATAAACTCTTGAGGCCAATGGCCAAAGGTCACCCCACAGAAATCAGAGCTCAAACGAAAAGAAACCAGGAAAATATATACAAGGGTGACAATTAAAATTTTTAAAAGGCTTGGATAGGGATAAGATAACCTGAGGTGATTGGATGCTTCAAAACAAACTATTCACACATCTTTCCTCCTGTCCTTTAACATAGAAACGTATATACATATCAAGTTTCAAAGAAAATTGGCTGAATTATTGCTTTATCATCTTCTAAAGCAAATAAGAATGACATACCATGAAACAGGTCAACTATGCACACAGCCCCACTGGAAGGATAAATACACATGAAATAATCAGGGAGAGTATGTTTAAAAATTGGAATTTCTGATTCCTTGAGGGGAAGAAGGAACTCTCCAGCAAAAGCAATCAAAAACCTCAACTCGGTGGTAATTCCTCAGACAGGGATTACAGTAGGAAATGAATGGTTTGATCTTCCTTGGAACCGTCCTTCCAAAAAAGACCTGCCCTGGGGTGGGTGAAGAGGGTCTTTAACAATTCAGGTATTTTTCAGAACCAAGAGAGACAGTCCAGCCTCGTGTTGACGTCCCTGGAGCTGCTGAAGGTGTCTACAGTGGACAGAAATGCAAAGTTTTTACATAAAAAGCAAAACCACTAGAATTCTTGGACAGTCTGACTTCTTTCTCAGCCTGAAGAGCTGTCTGGGGAGATGAGCAGGTGCTTGTGGAGGATGGGCCTTCCCACCCAGACCCAGGAGAGCCGCCGAGAGCGGGGCGCTCGGCAGTGGTCTCCAGCTGACGGGAAGGGCCCAGGCACGTAAGCGTCGTACAGAAGAACGGTGGCAGCTTGGCCTCGTCTGCAGGTTCTGACAGTTAAGGCTTCTGTTAATTAGACGTGGCGGTGTCCCCTGTCTGGAGAGGAAGGGACAGTCTTGGTGTCAACAGTGAGAATATTTGACCCTATTTCTTTCCACCATCAGGCCTTAAAACTTTGTCTGATATTTTCCAAGAAATCTACCCCTTAAGCCTCAGGCCAGGAAAGAGGTTTTGGAGGGGTGGAAGGGTAGAGGGGACTGGGTGAGGTGAGGAGGGTGACAGGAAGTCTGATACAGAGGAATGAACATGAAATTTAGGGTCAGGTCAGGGTTCCAGATTTAGTTCTAAGCCTCAGTTTCCTCAAATGGATTGCTGAAGGCTTAATGAGATGTCACATGTACAGCACTGAACACAAAATAAACATAGGCCCTGATCCCCTAACCAAATCCCTTGAGCATAGATTTATGTGGGAGTCTATCATTTTTTGAGTTTATTGTATACATATATACACACATACATATGTGCCCATAGATATATATGTAAGTATTAAGTAACATACTGTATACATATATATTATGCAACATTCCCATAATCAAGCACATAATATGCCTGCAGTATACTATGAATCTTCACATAAAGTGGGGAGAATAGAGTCTAAATGGCACTATATCCATTCAGGTTAGGTTTGTCTTCAGAGCTTTTTTAGAACTCTGGTTTGTGGATGAGGGATGCTGGGTCTCTTGTGCTAGTCACATCAAGGCTGACTTTGAAGGCACACACTCCGTGTGCTCCTGTACCGAGGACGTACAGGCAACACTCCATCAAGCACTTTAGGTGCGTTAGTGAGCCCTCAGGAATCCTCGCTAACCCATTTTACAGATGAGGAAACTGAAGTTCATGATGTTAAGTCATTTGGGATGTATACCAGGGCATATCTAATCAGTCGTTTTTTTAAAATATATTTTTTCAAATCAATTTTCAATTATACAGGTTGTACATGAATACATTCCCCATGTAAAAATTTGAAACATTTCAGATTATGCTAATTTTTGATGTCCTGCCCTTTCATTTTATAAAAGGGGATTGAGACGCGGCAGGAAGGTCTGGCCAAATGCATGAGCCCAGTGCCCTTTCCGCCCAGCCCAGGCTGTGCAGCTTTGCTTTTGCTAATTTTTGATGTCCTGCCCTTTCATTTTATAAAAGGGGATTGAGACGCGGCAGGAAGGGCTGGCCAAATGCATGAGCCCAGTGCCCTTTCCGCCCAGCCCAGGCTGTGCAGCTTTGCTTCCCCCCTAAACGGAAACAGATCTTCACCACTCTCTTTACAGGAATTCAGAACACAACCCTGCNCCCCCTAAACGGAAACAGATCTTCACCACTCTCTTTACAGGAATTCAGAACACAACCCTGCCACCCCTTTTCCCTTTTATGCAAAGCACAGCCTGGTCTTTCCCTGGGCATAACATCCCAAGTCCCTAAACCTTTCTCTTCTGCCTAAGTTCCTGGCTCTTCTCAGGTCTCCTGATCAGAGACCCTTCGTACCTGGTCAAGCTTGATTCTCATACAGGCTTTGCCTCTTCTTGGATTTCAGCTCCTTTAGCCATTGGGGAGAAAGCTCTTCTGACCTGAAACCACAGAGCCAGTGAGAGTCAAGTAGGAGCCGACTGTGGGCTCCTTGCAGCCAGGGCTGTGGGGTGCCCGACTTTTCATTTACCATGTCATGGCGGGGGCTGAGCTGAGCACTGACAGGTGGTGAAGATGCCCGTGTAAACATGACGGATAAGAAAGAAGTAGAAATTAACTAAAGTGTCCAACAAGGGGGAATGATCAACAAATCGTGGTATATCCATTCTATGAAATAATCTGCAGCTATAAAAATTCATCTTATATAAAATTATTTCCATCCACCTTTCTGTGACCCAAACGTTCACTCCTCCTTCCATCTCTCTATCCACGTAAATGCCTGTGATGGCTGGTTTTGTGTGTCAACTTAGCTAGGCCATGACACCCAGATGTTCAGTCAGACATTATTCTAGATGTTTCTATAAAGATTTTTTTTTAGATTAACATTTATATCAGTACTCTGTGTAAAGCAGATTACCCTCAGATGTTCAGTCAGACATTATTCTAGATGTTTCTATAAAGGTGTTTTTTTTAGATTAACATTTATATCAGTACTCTGTGTAAAGCAGATTACCCTCCATAATACAGGTGGGTCTCATCCAATCTTAACAGAAAAAGACTGACCTCCCAGGAAGAAGAGGGAATTCTGCCCGCAGACTGTTTTTCGAACTCAAACTGCAACACTTCCCTGGGTCTCCAGCCTACTGGCCTACTCCGTGCCGATTTTGGACTTGCTAGCTCCCTCAATCACGTGAGCCAATTCCATAAAATCAATCTCTCTCTCTCTCATGTAAACATGACGGATAAGAAAGAAGTAGAAATTAACTAAAGTGTCCAACAAGGGGGAATGCTCAACAAATCGTGGTATATCCATTCTATGAAATAATCTGCAGCTATAAAAATTCATCTTACATAAAATTATTTCCATCCACCTTTCTGTGACCCAAACGTTCACTCCTCCTTCCATCTCTCTATCCACGTAAATGTCTGTGATGGCTGATTTTGTGTGTCAACTTAGCTAGGCCATGACACCCAGATGTTCAGTCAGACATTATTCTAGATGTTTCTATAAAGGTGTTTTTTTTAGATTAACATTTATATCAGTACTCTGTGTAAAGCAGATTACCCTCCATAATACAGGTGGGTCTCATCCAATCTTAACAGAAAAAGACTGACCTCACAGGAAGAAGAGGGAATTCTGCCCGCAGACTGTTTTTCGAACTCAAACTGCAACACTTCCCTGGGTCTCCAGCCTACTGGCCTACTCCGTGCCGATTTTGGACTTGCTAGCTCCCTCAATCACGTGAGCCAATTCCATAAAATCAATCTCTCTCTCTCTCTCTGTGTATATATGAGGATACTTCAAAAAGTTTGTGGAAAAACAGAATTAAAAGAAATATGAATCTTTAAAGACCCCTTACATATAAATGAATGAGGGTGGACGTGTTCCAATAAAGCTTTAGTGTATATATGAGGATACTTCAAAAAGTTTGTGGAAAAACAGAATTAAAAGAAATACGAATCTTTAAAGACCCCTTACATATAAATGAATGAGGGTGGACGTGTTCCAATAAAGCTTTATTTACAAAAACAGACAGTGGGCTAGGCCCTATTTTCCCAGCCCCTGCTCTATCATAGCCCTTACTATATCACAGCCCTATTATCATGAACAAGTCCTGACTTTCACGTGTGAACAGTACTCATAAGAATTCCGCTCCCCTTGAGTGAGTATCTGCACACACCAGGCCCCAGTGCAAAGGGCTTTATACACATTGCTTGTGTCATCCTCATGACCTCCCGTGAGAAGGCTAGGATGGTGAGTAAACCCCTTCAACAGATGAAGAAAAAACTAAGGCCCAGAGAGGTCGAGTGGCTTTCCTCAGGTCATGCAGCTCTTATGTAGCACAGCTGGAATTAAACTCCAGCTGTGTGACTTTAGAGCCTGGGCTCCTGACCTCCACCCCCAGCTGCTGAAGTGCCCAGGTGTGAGAGCCCCTGGGGCTGGAGCTGCTCTGTGCTCATGCCTGCACCGAGCAGACCTGGCACTGGGACAGGACAGCTGTTCCACAAAGGGCTTCTGACCTGAGTTAGGTTTATCTCCTTCACCCTGGCTGTGCCCTTTGACCACCTTCCCAAGTCTCCCTGATTCTCCTGAGACAAAGGTACTTCCCTGGAGGTTATGAGGAGGGAGAATGCCTCAGTTTCCCCACCAGTCTGGAGAGGGCTGAACAAGATCAAGTTTTTAACTACTGGAAATCCTGGATTCCATGTGTGGGGGAGGTGGCTTGATTCCTGGCCTGCTCCCTACTCTGCTGTATCTTTCAGGTATCAGAGCGCTGAGAGTTCACATGAACAAAGCTTCTGCTGCTAGAGAGAAATAAAACATTGAAACTTTCCTTCTATTCAGCTCTAAGCCTTTTGCAGGCACGTCTGGCCTAGTATAGTGGCTGGAAGATGTTCCTATTTTGAGGGCCTGTAAAATCAATTATAGAAATAAACATGCATCCTGAGTTTGGGAGGGGAGGAGCCCTCATGCCCTAAGACCCCTCACCTCTCGTCCTTTTCTATGCTGGAGGGGAGCACACGACTGCCCAGCACCCCAGGCTGGAAGTGGGATTTGGGGGTCTTGGGCTGGGGGGCCCAGCTGGGGGTCTCGCCGGAACTGTCCACCTCTGGCCTTTTGTGCAGCTGAGCCTGGGGAGAAAAGAGAGCTGAGTCTGTAAACAGCCTTTTGTCTGGGGAAGAGCCCCATCCAGTGACACTGTTGGGCAGGGTGAGCCCTCTGAAAGCAATGGGGCCCCCTGAGTCTGAAGGGACCCAGGCAGGAAACACAGAGGCTGAGAAAAACCAGAGGTCGGGCTGGCATTCAAGTAGCTAGCCTTGACCTTTAAGGTCAAGTAACCATTGAAAACCCACACACTCATGTTCTCTTTTGCAGAAAGGCCACTGTTCGTAGTGTTCTCAGCACATGACATGCCACTTCCTTTTCTTTCCTGAGAACCCTAAGTGGAGAGAGAAGCTCCAGCCTACAGCTGAGGTTCAGCTCCATTAAGTTCCTTATTCCAGTATCCATATCAATGAAATGAAGTCATTGACTCCCCGTTAGATTCCCATGGGAAAGTGGCAGGGTGGATTTTCACCCATTTTTGGAGGGCATGTTAGGAATGGAAAGACTTAGGATGGTGGGTACATCCTTAGGGGTTCTGGGGTGTGAGTGGTAGCAGGTGGCACTAGTCTCTTGGGCAGCGCTAGGTCAGCCCCAGCAACTGTAGTCATGACCATCATCTGCTGACAGCTCCTGTGCAGGGAACATCTATCTAGGGGTTCTGGGGTGTGAGTGGTAGCAGGTGGCACTAGTCTCTTGGGCAGCGCTAGGTCGGCCCCAGCAACTGTAGTCATGACCATCATCTGCTGACAGCTCCTGTGCAGGGAACATCTATCATTTGGACCCCACCAGTTATATGACAAATGTCAGCTGGTTCCATGTGCAAAAGACTCCTTGTTAGGTAGACTGGCTTTCCCCAGTTTACAGAGGAAGAGCCTGAAGCTTGAAGGTTGAACAGTTTGCCCAAAGTCATGCAGCTTTTAAGAACTGGGATTCACACTGGGCCTACCTGACTCCCAACTCCAGGTCTCTTTCCAGAATAAGCCCCGCAGCACCGTCTGGTTATTAACAACTGCCAAGCACTGCCTGTGCAGAGAGTAACCAGCATCGACGTGGCTGCCACCGTACTCAAGGAGTGAGCTCATACTAACGGGTAGATAGCAAAAGCCTCATTTTTGCAGAGCGCAGAGGATTCAAGCTGTGCTCAGGTATTCAAAAACTTGCCTCAGGAGTTACCTGGGGCATCTACCTGGGAGCCCCAGGGCCTCTGCCCCTCCTATAACCAGGGCTTTTTCTCTGCCTCCTATGTTAGGCTGCCTTGTAAGATCATTTGTTCTGATGCTTAAAAGAAATAATAATAAAAATCAGAAAATCTCTGGCCTAGTATAGTGGCTGAAAGATGTTCCTATTTTGAGGGCCTGTAAAATCAATCACAGAGACAAGCATGCATCCACTTTGGCTTTTTATTCTTACAAGGTATGACATAAAAACAAAACTCTCTCTACTGAAGGAGAAACTGCTCCCACAGAAGTTTTTTTTTTTTCCTGCCTGGAAAATCAGTTGAGAATTTCCACAAACAATCCAAGCTTTTTGCCTTAATTTCTTCTTCAATAAAATGAGAGAAAAAAACTCTTTTTGCAGGGTTGCTGGGGACAGAAAGTGAATTTACAAAGGAATAGTGCACAAAGGAATGGCACAAAACAGGGGGGCAAAAGCACCCCCTTCTTCACCTGAATTAAGTGCCATTTCACCCCAGGACTATGAGAGATGCTTGTCCGTACCAGAGGTCAGGGGAGAGAGGCAGCCCAGCACTCCCCCCTAGGATTCTGCAATCCAGTGTAATTGTGGTGTAATTCAAGACAGTGGAAGTGGTTCCAGGGCTGGCTCCCCACATCACTTGGTATGGAAATGATCCTTTTCTGTGCCTCACTTTCCTAGCAGACTGGATTCCTCAAAGGCCTCAGGAGGCTGGGTTTGTTCACTCCTGTTTCCCTGACACCCAGCACTGGGCCTGATGCCTGAAATGGATTATTAGCTCATTTTACAGATGAGTAAACCAAGGCTTAGCTATAAGATCAAACAGAGCAGAAGGTCTGGGGGCTGAGAAAAGACAGAAAATGGTGATTAAGCAACACAGAGCCACTGGTGGAATCCAAATGTTAATAATATTGTTAATAGTATTTGCCAAGGCCAGTATCCTGGTTTTGACAATGTTCTGTGGTCACGTGAGCTATCATTGGGCAAAGCTGAGAGAAAGGTACACAAGGACTCTCTGTACTAGTCTTGCAATCTCCTTTGAGTCTTAAACTATTTCAAAATAAGAAAGAAGGAAGGGCAGGCGGGCAGGTGGGCAGGCAGGCAGGAAAGGAAGCGTGAGGTCTGTTTCTGCTGTCATGGTCAAGGAGCTCACCCACCAGGCAGGAGCTCACCTACCTTTAGCACTGCTGGATCCATTCCTGGAAACCCAGGCATCCTCTGAGGATGGCTGACAGGTGTCCTCTCAGTCCTGGATGGCTTCTCCTCCTCATCTGACTCTTCCCTCCTGGGTGACTTCTCTTCTATTGCAAAGAAAGGGCACTGAGATCACTGGCAGCCACCATTTATCAAGGTCACATGTGCCAGACACTTTGTGCACGGATCTTATGCAATCCTCACAGCAGCCCTGCAGAGGAAATTCTACTGACCCTTTCACAGATAAGGACAAGCCCAGGTGCCTGCTTTCATGCTCTCTCTTCTTCACAGCTCCACCTCTGGCTGGAAAATATTGACGACAGACAGAGCAGGTTTCCTAAGGGAGGGCAAAGACAGACCCACCTCCAGGGCCCCTGGCTCACTTGAAGTCAGGGAGATAGAAGGAAATGTTTGGCAGAGACAGGAGAGGAGACAGTGCATGGTCGATTTGTGCATCATGTGGAAGGGCTGCCCAAAGTGGACCAGGCAGCCCCCTTCCTCCACCCTTTCCAGGATGTAACCCCATCACATGCTTATAGCTGAGTGGAGCACTGCTGTTGTCATTTATAATGACACTGAGAAAGAACTGCTTAGCGTTCTAGAAGGAAAGTCCAGCAAAATGGGCTATGGCACAGTGACATCGTATGAGCACGTAAGCTAGAGCAATGCTTGGCACACAGTGAGAGCTCGATAAATGTTTGTTGAATGAATAACTGGACACATCACCTAACTAAATCCTTATAGCACCCAGAGAGGTGGGCACAACTTTGTCCATGTTTACATAGTGGGGTGCCCCAGTGAAGACTGAACTTGTGTCTTTCTCCGTCTCTGCCCTTATCTAGAGGTGCCAACTAGAGACATTGACCATACTCAGGAAGGTGAATGCCCTCCAAGGTCCTAGAAAAATCCCCTCTCCCAAAGCAGTGGTGTTCCTCCTTGGGGAAAGAAGGGGCAGCCATGCCCAAGAGTGTGAGCAGGAGGCTTTACTGCTGGGAGAGAGGAGCCCTTGTAGATTTTGCAGGTGTTGCATCCTCGGGAGGGTGGGCAGGTAGCCCTGTTGCCAGGGGAGGAGAATAATGGCACCTAACCCTGTGATTCAAGGGCTGAAAGGGAAAATCTGTCTGACCCTGGAAGGGGAGGCTCCTGCAGGGAAGAGGACAGGTTCTGGTCTGGAAGGCGATGGAGCAGGGGCAGTTTGACCTGGGGCTTTAGGGGGGCTGGCATCCTGGCTGTGCTTGGGATCTGGAAGAGCTGAGTTTTACAGGCTGTCCCTGCAGATGCCTGTGGCAGATGTTCATGCCTGAGGGGACTTTTCCTTCCTGGAACAGCCTCTACAGGGAGACATGGATCCCCTGGTACCAGGGACACTGTTTTACTAAGACCTTGGTGAGAATGTCCAGCAGAAGTGTTCTGACCAAACACTAGGCTCTTCGTGTTTGGAATTATAAACCTCGGGCAGACCTCCCGGGGGTAAGAAGTCAGACTTCCTGCTTACCTGGCAGGTGAGGGTTTAGATCAATTTTAATTTGAACACAGGTGATTGTATTTGAGGCTGTGGAATCAATTGCACTGGTTACATGAGGATAAGGAAGTCAAGGCTCAGAGAGGTGAACACATTTGCCCAAAGACACACAGCTGGTGTACAGCAGGTCAAAGCTTCATGCACAAGTGAGTCCCATCTCAAGGACTGTGCCCTCTGCCCCTACTACAGGGGTCCCAGGCATAGATCCTACCCCTGAAGGGGAAATTCACTGGGAGATGCTGGAACTTCCCTTTAAAAAGAAATGACTATTTCCCACATGGCAACTTGCTCCTGGCTACAGACTTACATCAATGAAGGAGAAGTCGTCCACTCTCTTTGCAGGGCAGGCCTCTGGTGGGGGTGGACCCTCCGTCCCATCTGTGGATTCCAGGTCAGTGCTGGAGCGGTCTACACTGGTGCTCCGCTGGTCCCTGGAGTAGTCGTACTGGTCCCCAGTCGAGGTGGGTTCCGTTTGGGAGGACAGAGAAGACAAGCAACTGCTGGGGGGCTGTTTCCGTGCCGACGTGGCACTGCTGTCCGGAGATGGGGACTCAGGGGCCAGGCTTCAAGAAAGGGAAGGAAAGGAGACATGGTCACGGAGATTGTTTCAGAGAAATGAATTTCAAGTAAAGGAGGCAGCAGAAAGCACAGCTCAGGTGTGCTTTATACGCAGGAAACAACAGACAGAACATCTCAGCAGGAGCACAAGATGTGGCAGCTGGGTGCCCCTAGGACACCTGCACAGGTGCAGAATAGGAACAGTCAGTTCTGTGCCATTCAAGACCCTCTCTGTGCCATCCAATACAGGAGTTGCTTGTCACAGGTGGATATTGGGTCCTTGCAGTGTGGCAAGTGAGAGCTGAGATGTGCTATAAGTATATATTGGATTTCCAACATTTGGAATGAAAAAAGGAATGTGAATATCTCATTAATAACTTTTCATGTTAATAACATGTTGAAATGATAGTATTTTGGATTTTTTTGGTTTTGATGAAATACATTGTTAAAAATTAACAGCACCTGTTTCTTTTTACTCTTGCTGTGGCTACTAGGACATTTTAAATTACATACTAGGGGTCTTCAAAAAGTTCATGGAAAGATTTGTGTTAGCTTTTGTTTCCATTTTCCCATTAACTTTTGGAAGTGCCCTCATTTATGTCCTGCATATGCAGCTCACATTGTTGTCCACATTTCTGTTGGACAGAAATACAATGATGTGGACCAAATGATTAGCAGCAATTACCTGTGGAAGAGCAGGGGAATCTCCTGCCCTGTTTCATTTGCTCATTCATTCACTCATTCGATAAATATTTACTGAGCACTTAGTATGTGCCAGGCACTCTGATAAAAAATGTGTCATCTAATCCTCTTCACAATCCTACGAGGATTATTTTATAATCCTATAACCTCCACAGTTCTATGAGGTAGGATTAACCTCATGAAATTAAACATTAACCTTGTAAAGATGAGGAAACTGAGGCACAGAGGTGTGAAGCAGTTTCCCTAAAGTGGCAGAACTGGGATTGAGCCCAGGCAGACTCCAGAATGCATGCTCTTGGCCCATCCCTACTTCAGAAATCTCTTCCAATGATAATATATTCAGGTGCCATTCAGATACTTGGAACCACATAAGATAGAAAATTTATAAATAAATCAAGACATTAACTCTCCCCCAACACACACACACACACACACACACACACACACACACACACACACAAAAGACACGTAAGTCAACAGCACAGCAAGGCCCTCCAGGGCATGGGAAACCCTTCCCCTGAGAAAGGGCAGGTGGGCCTACCCTAAAAGACCCCACAGCTGCACCCCTGAGCAGAACTTCCAGCCCAGGTGTACTGGTATTTCACCATGCTGGGATGATTTTATGACTTGGAATATGGGATTTGCGGGGTGGCATGAGGCAAATCCAAAATGATGAGGGAAATACCACCGAGGAGTCAGCAGGTGGCACCACCGTCCAGGGCTGGGAGCACCATAGCTCCCAGGACCGTCCAGGGTGCGGAGGCTGCTGTGCCTCTGCCAGACAGCAGGGGGCGCCCAGGCAAGGGGAGAGCACAGTTCTCACAGGTCCTGATGGAACAGCCAGGAATGGGGGATGGAGGCTGGAGAGAGGAAGGGGCTCCCAGGTCACATAGGAGATGGGCAATACCAAGAGCCAGGTTTCCAGACTCAGTTCCACGCTTCCGCAGGGCATTCTAGTGAAATGTAAGTAAGCGAATTAACTAAACATGATTTTTGCTGTGAGAAAACTTTGCTTCCCTTTTTCTTTCTCTTCCAGCTT